CGAGCAGCGAGGCTGGTGGAACCTGTCTGCACGCTGGGCTGCTCCTGGGATGCAACACGAAGCAGCGCCCCAGAGCAAGGGCTGGAAGGAGAATGCTACGAAGTCTGGGCTTTGCAGGAGTCAGCAGGCTGTGACCACTAACCCTGTGGTGTCACACTGATCACAGTCCCCATCGAGTGTCTCCGGTTCCCTCTTTCTCCCAGTCAACCAAAACAAACCCAAGTGGTTTTCTCACAAGAACAACCAATAAAGTAACACCCGCACTCAGCGCAGCATCAGCACGGGAGGTGGTACACGGAGCTGTCGAGGTTTTGTTGCAAAACACCCAGCACCGATGGCGTCACCTGCGCCTGTTTCAGTGGCAGCTCTTGGCTCGGATGCAGCACGGAGATGTGGTTACTGATGCTCTCCATGCGGAATATTTGCTGCTTTCTCTCTGGGATTGGAATCTCTGTCTGTCCTTCCCAATCTGCCCAGGATGGGCATGAGCACTTTGGCTTCCTCTACCCCGGCGCTAGCTGAGTAGTGAGTAGATGTGGGTTATCACAATAAACCAGGTGAGGGTGGCTTGAGGGCAGCCTCTGTTCCTCTGGGCAATCACCTGCTGAAAAACCAAAGTTAATCTAAGCAAGGGCACGCCCAAAGGCGCTGGCAATAGGTTCTGGATGGAGTCGATCCCCTTTCCAAAAGGGATTTTGATGGGCCACAACAGTCTGGGGTGGAGAGGGAAGGGGGTTACCAGCAGCTCTCTAACAGTCGGAGACAATTAAGAAAGGAGCGGTGATCTCCACTGTCAAGTGATGGAGAGACTGTTCCCAGCTGAGCGCTGCTTGGAAATTTGAGATCTAATTATAAGCAGGCTTTGGATCTCATCCTTCTTCCTGCACGCCTGGGACAATGAAATACTGACTTGTGCATCTGCTCTGTATGTGTACTTGATGCAAATAAGGAAGAAGTCTGTAAATACATCAAAAACCATACTTTATTTTATGTATAGCAATACAATTTACATATTAAATAACACTATAATAGAATGATTTGATATAGTTTAACATAACAAAAAGAAGATTCTTCAAGTTACAAAAAACCCCCAAACAAAAACCAAACCAAACCAAAAAAATCTCCCTCAAAATACTCCCTCCCACCCTCTCCCCAAACCAAACACCACATTTTTTTTTCTTTTTTTTTTCTGAATGGATCAATGAGACAAATGTATCCAGTGACTGGCTAAGTCTAATTCCTATTGCACACACTGACAATGGAATAAAAAAAAAATAAATCCAACTTTCACAATCACTGCCCCAAAGAAATGACGTGTGTGGAAATCTTTTCTGGAATGTGATGATGGTGTCTCACTACCTCGATACACAGAAGGTATGTATTCACATCGCCACCACAGAACTAGGAAGGAGGTGAAACTAGAAAAAAATTAGCTTTATATGAAAATATAAAATTCTATGATTATATACCATAGATACAAAGTTCCCAGAAGATGCTTATCCAAGCAACAAAATATTTACAGTTTTAATGACTTTGCTATTTTAAAAATGAAGGAAAAGAAAATAGGAGTACACGTGAATGCTTCGGTCTTTAGAAACAATGGCTGCTTGCTAGTTTCAAATGTTCTAACAAAACAAAAAAAGTCACTACCCCAAATGTTGGAGAGTTGTGACATTGTATAAAATTGACTATCTCCTCTTTTGGAGACGTTTATTCTTAAAACTCAAGACATTTTTCTTGAAATTAATTATCCTCTGTAGAAAATGCTTCCCTTTGCAAATAGTTAACAAAAACACTAAAAACAGTTTAACAGCTAAGACAAAGTAGAGGCCAAATCTCTTCATTACAGTTCCTTCTCTTTCTTTATTTTTGCATTCCTTCTCCTTTGATAAGTAAAGCCAATGTAGGTCACCTTGTTAGGATGGCAACAAAGAGAAGAAGAGCAAAGGGGTAAAAGTAAGAGTTGAATTATGTCTGTAAAAAAAAAAAGAAAAAGAAAAGCAATGCGGTGGATTAACAAATAGGCATTTTCCCTTCATATAAAAATTCACTGGCACCATTTGAACATAAACTTCAGGACACAAGATCTGATGTCAAAAGACATGAATTTGAGAAAGACTGCTAAATCTTTAAGACAACTACACTGTAATTATTTTTTTTAAATTAAGTTGGTTTTGTTTTGCTGAGAATTCGTTGTATGTATCTTTGGTAGAATTGATATCTATATGTTTTAGCTTTTAAATAAAATATAACAGCTTAAAAAAGAAAAGATTAATAAGAAGGCAGTTGTGCTGTGTCATAAAGATTCTTCTCCTAAGATTCCAATCTATCACTCTTGAGTTCAAGCAATTCAAGCAGTCAGAAACTGGAAAAACAACTGAAACTTTGCAGATCCTGTAAATGATTCCACTAACCTAGAACAGATCCACAGTACAGAAACAGCCACACACAAGGAATTTAAGGGGTTTGGATTTTCTTTCTCCTGTTCCTAAATTATTTGGAAACACACTGTGAAATACTAAGGACAAACGCCGTTTAAAATGAACGTTCTTTAGACCTTGGTCCTGCAGAGGAATTGGTGCGTCACCTTCCCGCCAGCCCTACTGCCTCTCCCAGCCCTGCCTACCCCACCGAGCTCACGCGGAGGAGCGTTCGCAGGACGGGGCATTCGGCTGCGACTCTCACCCATTTCAGATGTTAACACAACAGCTTTCCAAGCATTCCCTCTCGGGAAGCTTGGCTGCTCTTACAGCACTGAAGTCCATCATGTCATTCACATGGTCTGCAGGCGCAGCACACATGCAAGACACAGAGAAACAGAATTTTCTAAAGGCAGACACACAGTGCATGTGTACCTCTGTCCTTTATTTCCTTATTTCTCAGGGCTGGTGCTGAAAACCACATTTTATAGCTACGGGACATACTCAGATTCTCTTAATCGGCAGGCCTGCACATTGTCTGGGAAATTCTGATGCTTGAAAGACATCCAGACTGAATGCCAGGGAGCGGTGACAGCGGGGGGGGTTGGTGTGGCAAAAGCAAGGTTGCGATGCGCAGCGGGGGACTTGGGCCAGACGCTCGTGAGAGCATCTCAGCGGAGCTCTGAACACACGCTTGCTCCTTCTGCCAGCCTCGCTCAGTCCCAGGGAAAGGGTGCCGATCCATGTAAGAGAGCACAACTGCAGCTCCTTACCGCGGGACAGATCGGGCTTTTCCGCGCTCTTAACCCTGACCTTCACACGGCGATTCCTGCCTTCATCCACTTCAAGCCTAATGCATCACTCCCATCTACCAGCTACCTGACTGTCAGCACAGCACTCAACACACAGCGTGAACCCCCTGAAGGAAAAAATCCATGGAGAACTCAAATTATTTCCCCATGGATTAAACTCCAAACAAGTATTTCAGGTGTAGGAAAATGCCAATGCAAATGCACGGATTTCCAAAGCATCTTCCAAAGTTCACTGCCCACAGTCTCCTTTCAGTGATTTTTAAAACTTGCGAGAAGGTAAGGGATTAAACCAAGGATATGCAGCCAGCGTGTCACGAACCACAGTTATCTTCCATCGTGCCAGTGAAATGAAAAGTAATCAGCTGAAAGTACTGAACAAATCCAACCCTCTTGATGCCTGCACTGATCTGTGTGTCACTTAGCTCTTGTCAGGGTGTGAATTCTTGACTTCTCCCTACACCTCCCCAGGAACTTAAATACTTCATATTGGACCGATCCAGCTCATCACAAAGGGTCCCTTTGTGCTCCCAGCCAGCATTGCCCAGGGCTGGGAACACTACTGGGGGCACGGGGGGGGGCTCCCCAACCCCTAACGCTGCTGCACACCGGCCAACAGACCCCTCGGCAAAGCCTTCCAGCCATCGCCCGCAGCAGCACTCGACAATTTACTTGCACAATTCTCTTACTGGGGTGTAGCGACTGGAGAGCCAGTCTGAACTCCTACCAGACATTACCCGACTCCTTCCTCAGTGCTGGGTTGTCGCGAAGCAAACTTTCGAAACCTTTTGTGCACTTTTTATTCGGACTACCTGGTGCCGGATGCGGGATTTCCTTACTGAAACCGTGGAAATATTATAGCGTTCAGCATTAGCAGTTATCTGGATCGCTCGTAAGGAGGGATTTGACAAACTGAGAAGGAAAAGGTGACTGTGTAAAAGGTTGCTGATGAATTCCTAAATACTCTGCTGTTGGAATTAATCAGGAGTATCCATACCAGGCAATCCTTCCCTTATTAAAAATAAATGGCCAGGTGTTAGCACATGCCAGATTCCACAGCTCCTCTGCTCTCAGCGAGGCTGTATGCACTTGTTACCTCCCGAGGTTCAAAACCAAAATAACTACTCTCAGTATAATTTTAAGCAGTTGGTTTTCAGCTTGCTTGCGTGTGAAAATGCACAAAACCTTCCTCTTAACTAAGCTTCTTCCCTGCCCTCCCCTCCAAGGAAAGAAGTGGGTTTTGCCTTGCCAGATGTCTGGATTTCAGCCAGACCGGACTGGCAGAAATTAACAGGTTTACATTTAGGTGAAAAAAAATACGCTGTAACATTTTGACAAGTCCTGAAAAATTACAATGCACGTTTTGTGCAGTTGAAATTTAAAAGAAACTAATGCCATATATAAGGGATAGTGCCTTTAGCTGCACACCAAACATCAGGACGGCTGAAACGACGTATTTAATTTTCAAGGCAGACTCAGTAACCCCTCCCTATTCAGCTGAGCTATGAAGGACATGATTAACTTCAATTTTCAGGAGAATTAAGTGTGTTCTTAATTCTTCTGTTAAAAAGGGATGGATGTTGTTGAATTGTGACCAAACACAAAGGAAAAGGGAGCCAGTGAGGATGTATACGTAAATGCTCCAAACAATAATTCAATTATTTATATATCTGGGGGAAACCATTTTGTTGGTCTGGGAGGGAAAACACAGTAAGCTAGGTTTGCGCTAAAGAATTAGTCTGGCAAAAAAAAAAGAGGGAGAATGTAACTTTATAGGTAGTTTTTTTATTAGTTTGCTTCACCAGTAAATATGGATCAGTACTTTATGTTTTAGCACTAAAGTATGAAAATTACACACCTGTAAAAATGGCATCTAACAGTTATGAAATTAAGAAACGCCTGTCATCATGTAACATACCATTAGGTGTGAGGTCATATTCAAGAAATAGTAAGGAAATTAATGTGTTTAAAATATTGAATAGCTTAGTAATGTAAAATATTGCTACCTTCAATATATCTGAGAACAGGTCTGATTTTGGGCTGTAGTAGATTTCTCACTGTATTGGCTCTGACGAGAATAAAATCAAAATACTTTCCCATCATACGGCTGGTTAAAAACTAAAATCGACATTTTCCTGAATACATGGGGAAACTTTGAAATTGTAAATTCGAAACCTACCACTGCGTGCCACATGTGAGTTGCATCTAATTTATAATTATAATGTATGTAACCTATATATTCCATCTAAAGCAAGTCTTAGGCCTGGAAGTGTACAAAACAGCAATTTGAAACAACACAGAAATAACTGTTTCAGCTCCACGAGGCTGTTACGCCTTCACTGTAGCTGACAATCACCTGCCACGTTTTGTCAAGAAGGGATGAACACTGCTCATCCCCTCCACTGGAATGCAGAATACCGTTACCAAAACTGTGACATGATCATTAAAATAATAAATATGGTATGAAGGGGTACAGTATCTGTTGTGGACAGAATCCGTCTGGCCTAGCATTGAAGATTTAAGATTCAAGGGTCACTGTACTTAGCAAAACTTCACTGCGTTTAAACAAAAATGGAAAAAAGCGTATGTTTGTTGTCATGGAATGTCACATCAGGGCTTGTCTTGTATTAGAATATTATAGGCAGTAACACTGATCATATAGTGCAAACTAGATAAAATTGCGTTTCACTGTGTGAAATAAACAGAGGTGCAAATGCTCAGTAGGATACCATTAAGACATAAAATGGCAAAAAATAAATATCAAAACTTTTTATCAGTGTAAAAAAGTAATTGGGTTATTGTATAACCTAGAGTCTGGCAAAAAAGGCCTCAAAAAAGTTCACTCAGTCTTCAGAAGTTCTACAAATTAAGTGCCTTTTCAGGTTTCCAATTAGACAAGAGACTCCATGCTTTCTGCGGGATCAGATTCGTCACTGGCCATCACAGCACCGTTTTTGTCCAGTGTCATGGGACCGTTTCCATTTTCCTTAGTGCTGACCAAGCTTAGCATTGCCTTATAAAGAAACTGGTACTGTTCCTGGAAAAGAAAGACAAGTTATCTCAATCCTTTCAGCGTATGTAACTGAGGGGCACATAAATTTGGCATTTCCAGGGAAGGTCACGGACATTCGTTACTAGGAGCATACACACAGAAAAGAAAAATAGAGACCAATTACCTCTGTTAGTCTATCTTAACCTCCAGTTTAGGGTAGATTATATTACTCCTGATGCATTATTAAACACTACAGAAGGGCAGGACAATACCCGAGTCCACAGCTCACCCCAGGTTGCTCCCTCGTGCTGGCAGAGCCACACACCCCGAGGCCAGGCTGCATCCCTTCGGGTCACAAGGTGCCAGGTTTAAACAGCTGAGCTTAACTTGCAGGGCTGGCAGGGGGATGAGGACAAGCTGAAAGGTCCTTCCCCGCTAGGGCTGCCTGCACAGGGGATCCCTAACTGCATGAAAAATAAGCTTAACTGCGAATCAGAGACTTTGAGTGTGGGTCTGAGGTTTATAAGAAAAGGACAACTAAACACAAAAAGCCCAAATGCAAATTCTGTTTGGTAGCAGTCGCAGGAGGGCTTGACAACATGCACAATGTGTGTTTTAGTTTATGCTTTTGGTCTCAGATGATAACCTTGTAAACTAGCCATTTACATTCCATTTAAAGACTTACAATGTCTGTAAATACTCCAGGCCGCATAAGATTTATCATCTTTGCCACCTGGAAAACATCGACAGCATTTTCATTCTCCAGCTGCTGGGACAGAGTGGTAAGGGCACATAGCGTTCCCGCTGACACAGCTCCATACCTGGAAAGCCACACCAAAATGATAAGTTTCTCAGAAACACACCTGGGCACCAGCACAGAGCCATAAAAATATTGATATATTTCATCACCATAGTTCATCTCTATTAAAAGCTTGCTTTATACTGGCTAATTTTTCATCACTTTAATTTATGGAGGAAATTTGATGGTACACGAGCCATCTCAGCAGACCTGCAGAGTTCAACACGAAGATCTGCATCAGCACAGGAACGTGAGCCATTTAAAAATCCCTGGCCTGGGGACCGTAACACTGAAATCCGTTCTCACATGCCACACGTATCGAAAGCATCTGCATTATAGCTGAGCGTATTTTAAATTCATTAGTGGGAGCTCAAGCAAAACGTAAACGATTAGAAATAAATGAGACTTTGCCTCTTCCTCCACATCTGACAGTTTTAGAAAACTAACATGAGTTGAGGTGCTCGCAAGCAAATGGGGCACATCTCAAAGTCTTCCTGAGGTCTGATTCATTGGCAAAAGGAAACATCCCCGAGCCGGGCACCCAAGGGACATTACAGATTCTGAAGAGTTGATCTCAGCTGTCATTTAACAAGAACCAAAGCAACGGTGATTTGTCAGGAGCGTGACTCCATGTGTCCTTGAGATACTGGTCAGGTAGAAATCTTCCTGCTGCTAAATCTGTGAATGATGGGTGCAGCTGTGGGGCATGTGACAGAATATCCAAGCAACGGGGGCTCGTAACTGCTTCTGAGGAGCCTCAACTGTTCTCTGCTCTCCCAGTACTCAGGAGACTGGAATTCTGTCCTGGTTGTGCTATGGGTCTGCTCCGCAACTTTGAGAAAGTCTGTGTCTAAATTTCCCCACCTGTAAAAGGGGGCTGACTTGCTCTGTGAACTGTTTGGAGAGTTGTACAAGAAAACTTAAATGATCGGCAAGTGCTGCAACGCCATCTGCTATCGTTAAGATTACCGCTAGGATTTCTTACAGCATTCCTGTGGAAATCAAGACATATGCTGACTTAATTTCACATGATTTTTGCAAACACAATTTGCCTAAGAAATGGGAAACAGAAATCAGATCACAATAGATCTGCTACATTTGATGAATAGTCTCGAGCAGAAGCAGCAGGGCTTCTGCAGAACTCTACAGATGGCTGTGACTGATCATCTCCAGGGACAGGGGACGAAGTGGCCAGTGCGTGTGCCTGACGGGACACAACTAAATGCCTCTGAGGGTCTGACAGCCTCATTTTATTTGGGTTGATAACCTCCAGCTCCCAGCAATCTGAAGGCTTTTCTCTTGGAAAATTATGCAGCAAATCTTTATCTAGTTGCCTACATATGGGCAGTTATATTTAAAAATCTTGACAACTGTGTCAAGTTGGAATTTCTGAACTTCTTTGAAATGCTGTTATCAAGTTCATCCCACCATGTACTTCCTAAATACCACATGCATTTAGTATCTGCAAATTCATATATTTGGAATTAATCTGCAGTTGTAATTATTAGTGGATTATGTGATATAGTTGCTGCATGTAGTAAAGGGAAATCTTCATTTTCAGCTACATTTGCTTAGGCCCCAATGAAAAGCAGAATCCACATTATGTATTAGGCATAAAAATAAAATCATTGAATATGACAAATAAACCAAAAAAGCAATTTACAGAAAGAATGACTCAGCACTGTTAGGAATGCGATTTTGATTATTTTTTTGGGTCTAGCATGAAATGCCCAAATCAATAACGGTTCTAATTTTGTAAAACATAATCTTAAATACTGCAAGAGTAGCAAAACCTCACTTCAGACTACCCAAAGCATGAATATTAAAACCAGCCTAGAATTAATCAGTGCTGGCAAAAGGCAGCAGAGCTTACACTGTGCATTAGCAAGGCGGGAGGTGGTGGGAGAGAAACGACTCGCTGCAGCCCAAGGCACCATTTGCAGGAGCCGGCTGGGAAAAACCTGTTGGAGCAGCACCGATGTCAGGGAAAGGCTGTTTCAGCAACAGCAGATACCAGCAAAGGCTGATCTGACCACTGAAATACCAGAGTATGCTAATAACGTTTTTGCACAGAAGGCAAAGCTTTCCAAGACCTTCCCACTAATTCTGTTTTGTAGCAATGACAAAAGGTCTAACGGACTAGAGTACAGTGCGTTTATGTTGGCTCGGTGCTTGCTCTAAGGGCAACTCAAGCAGCGTCAGAAATTGGGCTTCCTTGGGATATTAATGACAGAATGCCTCCGGGAAGCGCTCTGCCCACTATGGAACAGTCCCTCCAAAGACATTCTGTTAGACTTCAGCTCCAGCTTCACTATAATGGTATTTTGCAGCTCTGTAATGTGTGCAAAGTAATAGGATGCAATGCATTATTTAGCATCCTTTATAACCGGGCATTCAAGCGTAGCTGGCAAGACAATGCTCCCCATTGCACTACAACAGAAACAAGTGTCGGAGCGTGCTGGCCCTGTTTTAGTGGGCTCCCTCCCTCCACTTGGCACCATACGGTCCCCTTGGAGTGTTTTTGGAGAAGCAGAGAAAGGAAAAATAAATCTGCTCTCAGAAAACCCAGGTCCCTTTTTCTCAGCTGAGCCAAGTTTGTTCAGTCTTACGTAGCACATTAAACCTGAGCCATTAGACAGGAGCTCAGGTTGATTTTAAACTGGTTTCCATAGGCCTATATGGGGCTGCTTAGAGCATTATGTAAACCAGCGGCTGCGCTGGGTTCTGAAACAGGGTGTAGGATTTGGAATACTTCCAGGTGCAGAAGAACCCAAAATGCTTACAAAGCAACACAGCCTCACTTTCTGAGCCCACCTATGATCATGGGCAAAAAAAAATCCTACACTACACAAAATGTATTTGGCCTCAGATGCCAAGTGAAAACCCATCTCTGAAAGTTTAAATATTCTGGTCCTGTTCCCTAGACCACTAAACCCCATCCACTCATGCAAGAATGGACATCAGTCCTAATAAGTGTCCTGTAGGTGAGTAACATCTTGTACAACCTGCACATAAATGGGAGGAAAGAGACGACATACTCATCGTGAACTATGGTGGGGCCATCCCTTGTTAAGGCCTCTTCCTTGATTACGTTGATAAGTTCAAAGGTACTGCTTATGGGAGCATCTGGGTTTGGCCATTTAGGACACTGAAAGTGGCGGACTTCCAGAACGTAGTCATCCTGCCATGAAAAACACAGCATTAGCTACTTCAGTTTCACATTTATCCACTCCAGGTAGAAAGAGGGAAGAGCCTCACTACAAACTCAGGAAATACCTTTATCTTCCAAACAGTTTATACAGAAAGGAGAAGACAGACACACAGCGACTCTGTAATAGTGAATGCCCTAAAATAATGCAACTTGAACAAAATGTTTAACTAACAACAATTTATGTAGTTGAGTTCAGGGCTTATATCCATATAAACCTTTCTCAGAACCATTATAGCTCAAAAGTCAAACAAGAGCAACCAAGGAATTAAAATTTAAAAGGGTTTGCCAACTAATGTTTTGCGGTAAAGTCCAGCTGCAAACTGGATAGCAAACTGGAGCCAGGTTTATAGCTCAGAGGAAATACGCTTACATAAAGCCCCTTAATTAAGGCCTCCAAACAATTATATAAATGTTGGATTTTACAAGCAGAAATAGGAAAATAAACCTTGGTGTACTTTATAAAGAGTAAGTCAATCTATTTGTGTGATTTCAAAATGAAAACTCGATGTCTTGCCTTGCAGCTAAGAGAAACGATTAATACCACGGTCTCGCTAGCTAGAGGAATCTACCTGGAAGTAGATGATGTGAGAGGGAGAAGGAGCCAACGAGAATACCCTTCCCTTGTGAGCAACGTGCATGCACATGCATTTACAAGTAAAACCTGTTCAAAAGTGTTTGGGAACTCTTCTTCCTCCCTATTTAAATGAAATCAATAACATTCTGGTGAAAAGCCAAGACCCACGTTCGGAGGTTTATTCTACCTGGGTAGCTTCAAGGATAAAGTCATGGATGATAATTTGTTCTTCGTTAGAGAGGCACAGTCTGTCTTTGCTGATAAGGGTCACAGTAAAGGCCTCACAGTTCATGGATTCCTCACGACTTGGCCAGTACACAAACTCATCTTCTGCCTGTGGGAATGAAACAACACACTACTGCAGCCTTTCAGGTATCTTGTGTGTGACTGAAAAATCCAGTGGATCAAAAAATTGGTTTGACAAATAGAGATGATCAGGAGCTGACCTTTAAAAACTACTTCTGTCTAAAACAGATTTACTATTACAGTTGGCAGTAAGCCTGCCAGATCTTTTCTCTTTGTGTCCAAACAGGAAATGTCTGCTTTTTAATTGGTTTCATAGGGAAATTGTTATCTTAACTCACTCGTACTTAACCTTTACATTGTATCCCAGGTTTTAATACCTCCTGCCTACATAGTTTTGCATGAAAGTCAGATATCTCTTTAGAAAAAAACCCCAAAACACCTCATTGACCTTTAAAAATTAATTGCATATTATTTTTAATTTGTGTTTATTCTGGTCTAATCCAAAACTCAAAGTCTGTGGATTAGGTCCAGGTAAAGACTGATGGATACTTATGTAGGACTTGAATTTTTAGGAACGAGGAGAGGAGTGAGAAGGAAGGAAGAAACCCAAATACTCTTACCCTTGAAAAATCCCCATTGTCTTAACTTAATGTAAGTTCTCCAGCAAAACTCCTCTACTGAAGGGAAACTGTAAACCTTCAGTGAGACTGCGAATGGTGGAAGAAGCTCAGTGGTTAAAGACCTGACTGACAGGATGTAGGTAACATACCACCAAAGCTATTCTTGAAAAAATAACTGAATCCTTAATTTACTGGAGAGAAAGGAAATTGGGCTCTGCCACCACATACGTGTGAAACCTGTTTCTCCTCTTGGCTTCAGGGGTCTACCGTCCCTGCAATGTAAGCACAGAAGCTACTCCGACAGCATGCACAGCACAGCACGCCTGTGCCCGAACAGCTCGTGTTTCACTCATGAAAAAACATGAGCTACAAACCCGCTTCATCCCAGTGTGGTCACGAGCAAGTCTCTAAACACTGGCTTATTTCTGTCGGCCTGGAGCCTTGATGTACATGAGATGCAAGATACTGTTGGAATTTTGTTCTGAAAATGAGACTTGGGGTCCTAAGCCCTCTGAGTGCCCGACAACTCTGCCCTCAATAAGCAGAGGTGCCAGCAAGCAGCAAAATATCGCTGAACGCTGGGGGAGTGACCTGTCCTGCCATGCGACAAGTCCTCGTGCAGCAGGTAGCTTGCACTAGCGTCTTGTCCCTTGGCATTACACACTCAGCACCTTGACGTCGTCTCAGCCCTGTGCCACCCCTCCTTGCCAGCCAACACAACCCACACCAAACACTGCGCCAGTGCACGGGTGTCACTGCCCTCCTGGCCAACCTCCACCCTGGGAATGGTGAAGGTGAAAGAAGGGGCCAGACATCCTTGCAAGGGATGTGTCTGAGTCCGGCGTTCTTCCTTTAGCCTTTAATCACTATTGTTCTGCAAAGCAATTTCATGTACTTGTAAAGACAAGATCAGCCTCTTCATTTCCACCTGACACACTTTGATTTCATTAGTGCTTTCTGATTCGATCGGATTTCTCTGAATGCTCTTCGCCTTGCAGTGCCTGCAGTCCCTTTCATCACACCACACACAGGAAGGATATTGACTGCTGCCTCTTTTGTAGCCCCTCGTGACTGCTATTTTCCTGCTGTAATGAAGGTGGTTACTCTTCCACTCTCAGCTACAATTGTCTATTCACCCCAGTGATGCGTGCATGAAAAAATGAACCGTTTAGTTCTTAATCCTTTTCAATGCGCCCTCTTGAGACATGCCAGTAAATCTGGAAGTAGTGATTAGCACTTCACCTGTGTCTCCTTATTCTCTCTCTCTCTCTGTCTCATTATTTCCACTTAAATTAACATACATGTTTGCTTTTCACTTTCATCAAAAATAGCAGCTGTAACCAACCTTGCACAGCCACAGTCTTGCGTGGCCTGAGCCACTGGGCAAACAAGCAACTACCCTACTGTTGGTGCTTCGTATTTCTGCTCCTCGCACAGTCCCTCCCTGTGTCATGTCAGTGCCTTGCACCCTGCTGGACAGGCAATGCTCAGGAGCTTCGCAGAGGTCGTGGTTGCCGGCGTGCTGCCCTTGAGCACTGCGGTCCATCCAGCTCAGGGGGTCTCTCCCAGGGGTGAGGGCAGAAAGGGAAAGCAAACAACAGACCTCGCATTTCGGGACTTGTCTTTTTGTAACAAGCTTAAGGCAAAGTTTGAGAGGGAAGCTCAAAAATTTGCTTTCACTTTTCAACCAGAAAATAGCCCCAGCGTGTCCCTCCGTGACCCCCCGCTGGTGCCCGTCTGGGCTGAGCGACTGCGGCGCGGCGCAGGGAGGGACGCGTTGAACTCACCAGGCTCTGGTTGTCCGGCAGCATGACGATGATCTGTGCGTTGTGATCCCAGATCATGCGCCAGAAATCTTTAGTCGTATGTGGCAGTGGATGTTGGGTTATGATGAACTCGTTACTCCTGTAGTAGCCCTTTCGCAGCAAAACAAACCACACAGTTACTGCCTTCTATAGTTTTAAAGCATTAATTTCATCTTTGGGGACACATAATGACCCTACTGCATTTTATTCCACAATATTTTCACACAGACTATAATTTTATAACTCCATTTCCGTTCTGCAGAGTCCCTGTTGTTTTCATTTACTCTAAGTCCCAGCATTTATTTGACTGTATCTCATGGAAATACAGATTCTATCTAAATGCATCTTGTATTTAATTTTTTTAGGCACCAATCTTTAATAAAACACAGTTAATAGTTTTACATTATGGGGAAGGTGTTAAAATCTCATCTGTTAATACACAGCCATTACATACAGAATTAAGACAATTATAGGCATCTGGTATTTAGCACCTTAGAATTGATTTTACTTTGTAATTAGGTGTTGGCTTCCTCACCATGATATAAGAGGCATTAATGTAATCTGTTCCCTTCATTCCAGGCAGCGGTGCCAAGCCCACTCTAGCACGCTCAGCTATAATATTAAAAAAAAAAAAAAAAGGAAAAAAATAATCAAAGTCTGGTCATGGCACAATGCAGAACGTAAGAATTTCTCAGATGTTAACAAACCAAACAGTGTGCAGCTCCCATCTCCCACAGGAGCAGGCCAGCACTTTAACTGCGTTAAAGCATTGCCTGCTAACACAGGATATAAAAGAGAACGTTGCACAATATTCCCACAAGGACAAAGTAATTTCAGGAATCAAATTTTACTATAGCAAAGATTTTCACAGCAGGCTGAATTACCGAATAACAGTATATGCAGTGATAACAGGGGATTTCAGGTAATTCTTGACTGCAGTGTTCCATTTGTCTCCAGCAGCACACAAACCCAGCTGATTTATTTTGTTTCCCCTACCACTCGGGAGCACTACCATCACTTAACTCCTCCCAGCTGGAGGGTGAGAGAACCTCCAGAGGCAAAACCCTTCCCTAATGGGTAATCACCCAGAAGTGCGCGTATGTGTGTGTGTGTGTTCTTCAGCAGATCTACACTTCTCCCTGTTCAAGGGCTGCGTTCAACAACATCCTTAAACCAACTGACAGGCTCCCAGCACCAGACTGAAACCCCTGCAGCCATGTGACACAAAGGGCAAAGTTGTACAGACTGTTTCTGCCCCTTCGGCATTTGTTTTTAAGATATATTTAAAATATAATTTTAAGATTTTTAAGAGAAGACTCCAGGGGGACCTTATCACTGACTTCCAATAGCTGAAAGGAACCTACAGGAAGGCTGGGGAGAGACCTTTTACAAGAGTGTCCACTGATAGGACCAAGGGGAAATAGGCTTAAGTTAAAGGAGACTAGATTTAGATTGGATCTTAGGAAAAAATTCTTCAGTACAAGGGTGGCAAGACTCTGGAACAGATTCCCTGGAGAAGCCGTGGCTGCACCCTCCTTGAGGTATTCAAGGCCAGGTTGGATGAGCCTTGAGTAACCTGGGCTGGTTGACAGGTGTCCGTGCCCATGGCAGGGGGTTGGATTAGGTGATCTCTCCTGTCCCTTCCAACCTAGGCCATTCTGTGATTCTACGATATATTCTGATGACTTTGCTTTTTATCAGCAAACTTCACGATGGACCATATCTGTGCCATTATTACTTTGTGCTAGCTTGGCTGCACCTGTCCTGTGTGTCCTGTACTCTGGGCAATGTGACGGGCGTGATGCTGTGCCCATGCTTGGTCTGGTGCAAATTCATATCTCTTGGCAACCACGCACAGATTCCACATTAATGGCTGTAAAACTGTAGCCTTGGGCACTAAATGCCCTCAAATGAGGGGAAGACTCACATGCAGAAATTGAGTGTGGTAGCTGAATTACAAACAACTCGTGCCAATCACGCCAGGAGATCTCACCTGAGCTGGGAGCAGTATCAAAGTAATTCTCTCAGTAGCCCGTAGATCTATCCCCTACCTAATTATCCAAATTCTTAAGCACTTCAAATTAACATTTCATTTCACTTGGACTATATATCTAGCTGACACTGTAACTATTTTCTTTTTGTTCAGTTTCATCAGGGTAATTCTGAAAGACAAGACATCTTGCTCTGAACAAAAGATTACATTTCTACTTCCTAGTGGCTATGCCCTTCCATGCATCACACCGGGAGAGCCGAGTACAAAAAGTTACGCAAGGCAGTAATCAAACCGAAGATCTTACACGGCACGACTGATGAGTTCCTGTTCTTCTCTTTGTTGCAGTCTTTCTGAGCACTGAAGCATTCCACGTATTTTGCATTACACTGTGTAACCAGCTGAAAGAGAATATAGTAGTAAGTCAGCCCTCACAGCGCACTAAATGAAGAGCCGAGGTTTCGTTGCCAAATCCTGTGAAGACGCATCAGTAGAAGAATAAACTGCATTGTTAAACTTGTTTAAAGTACTCAAGATGCCAGTGGAAATCATCCTTTCCATACAACATGTTTAATGGATAAAAAGATCTGCAGCTCTGAGCTTTGAAACATCTTGAAAATGAAGTTTGATTGGAATTTATTTTCACAGAACACTAAGCTTAGTTATCTTTGAGAATACATTCAAAAGACTTGCAGATATGTTCAGTCAGATACAGGTCTCGAGGAAGAAAAGCAAGCAAGATAAAACAACAACAAAACTTTTATGCTTCCTTCTGATATAAAAGCCAGATCTTTCCTGCAGAATGTCTTTTTCCGCCAGGCCTTCAGGGAACCCACCGCATCGGCATCTGAGATCCAAGGCCATGGGCTGCCTTTTCTGCTCTGCCAAGTTCATTCTGGGCTGCTTACGAGGTGCAACGAAAAGTCAGAGAGGCAGATTTGTATCTGAGTGTTCCCCCAGCGTATGGGGAAAGTCGAGCAGAGCAAAGAGGGCGAAGGGGGCATTTTCAGCTCCTGCACTAGCCACTCAGCATTCATTCTAATATGGTTGAATGTAAACTACTGTACCAGGGGATGAGCACAAGTTATTTTCTGACAGTTCTGTGGTAGCAGCAGAAACACGAGCAAGATTTAATAATTGCTGCTGGTCACGTTTCAAATGAACTCTAAACAAGACCACACTCAACTCATCTCTGCACTGGCATAAGCCCCATTAGAAGTTATAGGGTTTCTAAATACCTGCGCAACGCTTGCAGAGAAAGTAATTTCTGAAAATGGCACTTTGATTTTTGAAATTTTGCCACTACTCATCAGAAAACATCTTTATACATATATACTGTTTGTAGAAGTGCGACACTTTTTATTTAATAAGAAATCTTTTGCTCCTGCTGCATTTTTTTCGCCTCTGCGCATGCTTGTGCTTGTTTTTTAATTTAGTAATTAAGCATCTGGAATGTCTTGACTGATGGAGAAGTACCGAGATTTCTACAAGTGAATTCAGAGAAGAGCCTGTTCATTTTTTAAATAGCTCGGCACCTCATATAATTTAATAGTTTCAGTTTCTTAGGTAGTTATTAACTGAGTGAGTTTAGCTGTGAAAACAGATGCAACATGTAATCTTATGATACACAGTCTCACAAAATATTTTCAAATGCATTCAAATAAAACGCAATCAGAAGATTTTAGGTTTCAAATAGGAGATCCAGGCAAAAAAGAATTTACTTTTCCCAGAATGAAAGCAGCTATGACATGGCAGGGAAAACCAGCAAGCATAGTTATCAGCAATGAAACAGGCATGTTGCGTTTCCAGGTCTTAAAACATTTTTAATTCTTTAGTCAGTGCTGAAATAGTAGGTGGTGCTAAAAATCTGATTTCATATCTTTCTCCATGAGAGCCACAGTTAGGAGGAAGACTTCCAGCCAAGCTAACCACAGACTCAGGAACATCCAAGCACACCAGCAGCACACTCCAAACCAGGGTCCAAATCCCTCTTCTCGCGCTGATTGCAGCAGTGTAGCTGAGACAGCCGAGCACCAAACTTCTGAAGGTGCTGCGTGCTGCTGTGCTAATCAAGCGTTCTGGTTTGGTTCCTTATCTTTGACAACTGACAGTGAAGACAGGCTGTACCAAAGAGAGTAGGGAAATCAAGTCCCTCTGGATAGCAGTGATAAGCCTTACCTTGAACTGCTTTTCTAGTCGTGTCTTCCCTCCTATGCCAGGTATGAGGATGCTGTTAACGTAACTATGCAGCTGGTTTGCAGATACTTCAGTCTCCTTCCCAAGGATGGCTTCCAGCAAGGCATCATGAATAAAAATGTACTGCTCCTAGAAAAACAGCAGCATGTCACGTAGGTGCTTGGAATAAACTAAACAGCTGCCTTTAAATGAGAGGTAGAGCACACTAAAGGAAAGGGTGTGCAAAACAAGCCACTCGCACAAATACTGCCAAATCCAGAATAAACATTTACAAGCGTAGCACGTACGTCTCTGAAAAAGTCAAAAGCAAAATCTGAAGTTTGCAGTGTAGAAAGAGAGAAACATTCCAGTGCAAAAAATGCCTGGTGATATATTAAATTTTTACAGGGAAGTAACTGAAAAATCCATTTTCTTTTTGATTATAACATAAAAGTGAACATGGCTTTAAATTCAATCCCACTGCAATCTTTACCTCTGTCTGGACGAGGTAGTTGCGCTGTGTCCTGATATGTTTCAGGAAACCCAGGACGTTAACTGTGCTTTTGTCTTTTATCTGTTGCAGCATACTGTCTATCACGATGTAGGTACCAGTTCTGCCAACACCAGCACTATAAAAGATGTATGAGAAACCCATGCATTACAGCTGGACCAAAGTATATGTTCACAACAGGAGAATAGAACTAGGCAAATATTCCTGTTCACAATCTTTCATTTCCGTGCTAGCCCCAACCGTGAAAGTTTCTAATCAAAATATTTTGGTTTCTGGGAATTTTACCAGGTATATATTCCATGATCTGACACTTGGCTGTCCTGTCTCCACTACTGTTGTTACTGGTGTTGGCTAAAAGAAGCCACATATAGATCCCACCCTGTGCTAAAGTGCTGCTATCCTGGACCAACGAGGTTGCTCCAGGCTGTGGGGCTGGCCTGGCTGGCTTCAGTCCTGAGGTAAGGCTTAGGCTCCACAGTGGACCTGCCATCCTGCTCTGGAAACGTATATGGTACCAGAAAAGCATGAGAAGGGGTTAATCCTGTGCTGGCAGGACTCCTCAAAGGGGAGGAAGGTGGTCCCGGGCCCAACAGAGAGGGTGGAGAGAGGAACTTCTCAGAGCTTCTCAGTTTTTGTTCAAGAAGGAGCTATAACCCCCAACATCCTCTCCTCTTCACTGTGGTGCTGTGCAGCCCCCTCATGTACAGCGATGAAGACCACGTCCCTTGACCCATTTCAGAGAAATCTGCTGTTGACTGCAAATGCTGTGAATACGAGTGTGGTTCTGTAGCAGTGACGTGCCCACGTGTCCGTGGTATTCACATGGCTGGTTGCCAGCAGAGGTGACCCTACCCTACCCTACCCTACCCTGCACTGAATGGGCAGGTTACAAACAAGCTTTGAACAAGGAACTGCACAACCACACCAGTGCAACGCTCAGCAGCTCGGTATCACGACAGAGGGTTTTGCTAATACAACTGGGAAGTTTTTTGGAGCTGTCTTAAGGCGTAGGCAAAGCAAGCTCATGCCTACCTGCACCCTATGGGGCTGGCACGCTCCTGTGTTAATACTTTTGCCTTAGCTGGCATGTAAGGGCACACATTGTGCTCGTCCAGGAAGTAGTTAATGACACCCATCATACCTGCAGTGCACCACCACTGGTCCCATGTCCGGGGTCCTGGCTGCGGAGGATCTCCTCACAAAGGTTAGCACAGGCAGAGCGTACTCTGGCACACCCATGTCGGGCCACTGAGTGTAGTGATACTGAATGACTGTTCTCTCGTTCTGCCGCCCTTTGGGGTTTCCCTTCTGGCCCTGCGTGCAAAGTGTGCGCAGAAAGAAGAGGAACATTAGGGAAGAGAAGCAGAGAAAGACAATCCTACTGGTCCGCGCAGCTGAAAAAGTGCTGGACTCTAACCGAAGAAATCCTCTGCAGCTCTGCCTCCTGCTAGGTGGAGACAGAGTTCAAGGAAAAATACACGTGGGAACAGGTAATAACAGCAATAGCTGTGACACCAAAGCAGCAGTGAACTTGTGAAAAAGGAATACAGGCTAAACCTTTCACCAGGTTCCTTGTAGACCTGGGCTTTGCTTACTTACTTCTCACTTCCAGTTGTCTATGCAAACGCTGAGTTTTGCTCCTGCGTGCCTTGTAGCCTACACAAAGCAGAAGGCATCTGGATGAGGACAGTGAAGGCTTTACTCACCTTTTTCATCTTTGTGTTCCTGACCGTGAAGCGGCGCACAGTGTAGCAGGCGTGAATGTTTGTGCTCTTCAGCGTGACGATGATGTTGCCGTACTCCTCGCTGTTCTCTGACGGCCAGTACTGATCACATTTTCTCTGAACAAACACATAGTTGGGTGGGTTGACTAAGGGTTTGAGCTGCTTCTTTGTGTTCAGAGCTTTTTCAAAAAGTAAAATCATGGCTACCTATGTATCCCTCTGTTATGTTAGTTACGTGTTATACATTGATACATATAATCCCCAAACATTTAAAAATAAAATCCTGCCCACGTGACTGAGGGAGGTGGTAAGCAGCAACCGCTAACAAATGAGAAAATCTCTTACTCTTCCTTTTTCGACAAGGTTTGTGATCATGACAATGATTCCAGTGTTTTGTTCCCAAATCATCCTCCAGAAATCTTCAAAGGTAGACTTTAAAGGTCCCTGGGTAGCGATGTAGGCTTTTGCTTTGTTGTAACCCTTCAAAGAAAACCATAATGCCAAGTGAGATGAAAGTATCATGGCAGGCATATTAATATTTTAAAGGTAACAAATAAAAGTGCCTTTCTCATTCAGAATAGTGAGGAACTTGTAGCAAAATTATTAGGTGAAGTTGGAAAACACAATCACTTCTCAAGTGGCAATACCTCCTTGTGGAAAGATTTAGAGTAGAGAAGAAAAAAACCAATCCAAATAACTTACATCGACATAATTAGCATTAATGTAGTCACTGTGCTTAGAATCTTTTCCTGGTAAAGGCCTTAGCTTCACTCTGCTGTGATCATCTGCAGGATAAAAAACAGAGCAGAGAAGCGTTAAGGAAACACAGCACAGAACTGCAGGTAGACATCCCATTTCCCAGGTATTGCAGGAGCCCTTAATAATTCACAGAAGAAACTGGCCTTCGACTGGAGTCAAGGGGGAGCTCGGAGTACCCGTTCTTGGCCATCTGCTTATGGCAGCAGGTCCTCAGGCTTCACATCCTTAAAGTACGTGGTTCATGCTGAGAGAGCTTCTCTTTAAAGGACAATGGAGCCTCAGGAGCCCAATCTCTAGGACCATGCACATCACACAGTGTGGTGTGATTCCAAGAGCCCAGGGACCCAGCCGTGCGGAGGCCCCGGCTCGCAGGCGGCAGAGCTGCCTCTGCCTGGCTCAGCATCCGAGCTCCACTCAGTGCTGGGCTCAGACAGCTCTACTGGCTCTGGGAGCTGAGTGAATATCCTCACTCCTTCACCATCCTCATCATGCCAAAAGGATAGACTGTAAGTCATGCTCTTAGCTCCCCTTTTTATTCCACCCAAATGCTTGGTTTTGGCTAAATCAGAAAAAAAATTGCAGTTGTTTCTTCTGCTCCTAGGCAGCAGCATTGGGCTGGGTGCTGCTTCTAACACAGGCACAGATCAGACACATGGGCTAACTTTTAGCCTGAAGAATCTGGTTTCAGTCGCCCTCCTTGAGCACAGATGGAGAGAGAGCGATTCCTTCAGGGACAATCAGGAGAACTGGAGTGTCTGCTCCAGTTCTCCTCCAATGGTACTTCTCTCTGTGCCTAGAGGGACCAGACATCTACATCTAAAATCAGAGTTGGGACAACTGCAATGAATCCCCTTGCCCATGGCCACACAGCAAATCTTTTACAGGTCTGGGAAGTGGTCCTCAGCTGGCACCTTGATTACTTCTGAGAATCTGTTAAGAGATATGCACTTCCTTCCTATGCTATCAAAAGCATTCTAGATTTATTGCAATGTTTATGAACACCGTGAACTTTTTATCAGTGGCTCTCCATCTTTGTTCCTGAACCACAGGGACTGCTGCATCTGCTCATATCAGAGAATGATATGAAAAAGTTCCCACAATTCCATCCCAGACCTGCCATAACCTATGTTCTAGAGCAGAGTCCAGATTTGCAGTTCTCAGAGGAATACAGGCAAAGCCTGCACTGTGCTGAAGATCACGGTTTGTCCAAGTCATACACACAGCTGAAGCAGTTTGAAATACAGCAGACACACTCTGTAAGATTTAGCACCTTTGAGATTATAAGGGAATCCCAGGGACCATCAATAAAACTCCTTGCTCCACCATGCACCTCCCTTAGGCCAGTTTTCAGATGTTAGCAGGCAGAAGGGCTCTGATTATCAATTTATCCCAGTTATCCCCTCACAAAATTTCGTAACAACCTGATATTCTAAAACTATACTTGGACCATCAAACTGCAAAATATTTTAAAACAAAAGCTGGAGTGAAATCCTGGCCCTGGAGAAGTCAAAACGTCCACTGCCTTTAGCAGGGAAATGATCCTCCAGCTACACTTCTGCATGTTTATTAATTACTGTGCAATAATGTAACCTGCAGCCACCTGCCTTTTCCAGGCACATGGAGATGCACTGCGAGAGGAGAGAGCCTTTTCGGGTTGATTCATTGAGCTTACTTACAGGCTAGGATGTTGATGTATCTGTTCTTGTGCTTGTTGTCAGGGTGGTTAGAATGCTCTGCAGTGATGTTCATGTCGGCTGTACAGCGCTGCACTTCCTAGGCAAAAAAAATTATTCAAATGGAAAATGTGTCAGTCCAAAAAAATTAAGCTTTATCTCCTTTTGCAACAGCTTGTAGAAACCATGTTTAAAATATCGATATCTTAATTGCTGGATTGAATACTAAATCCTTCAGTACTGCCCTGTAAAACATGCTCTGCTTAAATCGAGCCGTGTTAGCTGGCGCCTGGCGTGCGGCTGTGCTCTTCTCCACAGGCTTGGTGACAGAGGCACTTTGGGCCTGACTGTCCCCTCTGAACAGCAGCCCACCCGTCTCCTGTGATGCCCCACTCTGTCCCCTCTTGGGAAGGGGAGACAAACACCCCCAAAGTCAAGAGCAGCCAGTGCTGTGTAAGAAACCAAGCACAAACCCCACTTCAGCAGAAACCTCTGACCACTGGACAACTTGTCTGCTTATAATCTCTCAGAACAGGGTTTCTGACATTTAAGTTTGGCACTGACCTTTTGTTAGCTCTCTGCAGAGAGATGCCTTTTATAAAATATAAATAAAATAGATCTCTGAAGATAACAGTGAGTGCTTTAAATACCACTGCCTGGATACTGATTAACAGCCCATGATACAGTGAAAAAGACAGAAGGTTGCATCCACATATATATACATTTACAAAGTAGAAAGAGGTCAGGCTTGCCAAGGTGTTCATGAAGTTAGAGATGCAGATTTCTGTCTAGTTGAAGCCGTAGGTTAGATACTTAATTCCTATTGATTTTTTCAGTTCTTAACATATCCGTTACTTACACTGTCCTACAGCAGAGCACGGAGCGATTGAAATGAGGCAATGGAGGGTTTTTCCTTTTGGCCAGACTGTCCTAGAGTTACACACTTCAGAGACTGTCTTGAAAACTGATTCACGAAAACTCACGTGAGATACTACCCCAAGACAGGTTTTTTTGCTGTCTACGTAACCACAATCTTCCTGAAAAGGCTAAACCCCATTTTATCACTAGGATAAACATTCCTACTTTAAAACCACATTTTTTAAAAATATATCAATGTTTGGAGGTTAAAAAGTTATGGAAAAAAACCCTGTATTTATTCAAATCTTGTGCAAGACCCAGAAATTGCACCAAACAGAACCATTTTCCCCCATGGATATATGGGGAAGTGCCAAATTACTTTGTACTTTAGGCTTTAAAAATAACAGTATAGAACCTGCCTAAGAGGGAAAGTCATTAGGAGCTCACAGCTGCTACAAAGATCACGAGCTAAGTGACAGAGAAAAATTATCAAGAGAAATGCTATACAAACAGCAGATGTAAGAGTTCAGCATTATGCAGACATTTCACAAAGGACTTGCATAGCAATTTTGATATCTTCCCCAGCATTTACATTTTAAAAGTGCAAAGTATACTAAAACCTTGAGCATTTTATAGCTTCAATATTCACATGACACTCCCAAATAACAATCGCTTCTCTCCCTCTCCCCGCTTCTCCGTAGGGAGAAGCACACTACATTCAAAAAGATGAGCTGAGCAAAGAGAAAGAGAAATCAGGCAAAACTCTCAGATGGCCCTAATAGAATTTTCATAGTTCCATTTCTATCACAGAAATAAAAAAACCACATTAAAGTGTGCGCTTCCCCTAATTCTGCCTGTCAGCTCCAGTAAGCAAGGGACTTCTGATTACACAATGGGCAGGATCAGTTCAGCCTAAGTCATAACGGGAAAAGCAGCATTACTTACATGTTAGGTTGATTTAATGTAATTTCATTTTACGGGCTTTTTTTGCATTTAGAAATCACTGCTGTACCATTGTAGGTCACTCCTAAAATATACCCTCCCCGCTTCTGAAAAGCCTCACGTCAAACTCTACATCCTTGCATCACTACAAAATTCTTTCTAGACATTATTAGCGTTGAAACATTTATGCCAAATGCTGTAGAATTTAATACAGACGAATCCAATAAGATTCTGTGGAGAATACTCTGAAAAGTTATAGAATTTAATAGGGAATTACCTCCCTGCTAAGGAATTTTCTTTGACAGTTTAAATACTACATAGTAAATGTATCACTTTCTATTACATTCTGTAGGATTTTTCCATGAGGGAATTGTTGGTGAGGTTAATCATTTTAATTAACCTTTTTATGTTGATGCTGACTGTTTTCTCAACTGTATATGTTCCCAGCTGGCCCATATAAAGTTAATAGAAGAGGAAGATTAAGCTAAGATGGTAAAAGCCACAGCAATGGAAAAGAAGGTCTGAGAGTTGATCATTTGAAAATGTTTTTTTTTTAACATGTAATATTCTAAATGATTTTTAATACTCTGGAAAGCCGCTATAACGTTGGATTCCTATGTCTGCGCACTGCAAAGCATAGCAAAAGGAGACTGCTGAAGAAAAGCTCCCTGACGCCAATGCACCTCAACTCTTTTTTGTCTTTTTGAAAAATCAACGCAGAACAATAAAAGGCCGTTTTGACTTCACCCTGCTCAGAGTCCAGACACAACCCGTGCTTTGGGGTGCTGAGGCTGTCCAGCGAGAATGGGACTGAGGACATCTTCCACTTCCAAGTTAGCCACTGACAACGTTTGGCTGTGCTGCACGGACAGGTCGGGCTGAGAACAGAAGGTGGTTATCCACACTCTCTTCCCCTCCTAGGTTGATCTCTCCGAATTCTAACAGCAAATTACTAAACCACAGGCTAACCCCGCCAGACAGGAAGGCATAAGTTAAGATTCCTTTGTTATTAAAATCAAAGTGGTTGTCTTCCATCAATGTGCAAAATGCTGCAAGAAGACAAGACCAGTTGCAGCCTGTTATCTGTGCCACTGTTCAGAGTATTATTTACCCTTTGGCAGGACAGCTCTGTGTTAATAAATATCACTCTGGAGAAAGTTACCAAAAAGTTACCATCCTAATTATGTCGGTTTATTATATACGTTTATGTATACTACATATTTACTTACCCAGCATTTTCTATCGTTTATGCAATGAACACCTTGGGATTTCTAAATCTTACTGGCTATCAGGTCTTTCATTTGCATTTAAAACATCACCGTGACTACGTTATTATTATAATTTAAGTTTCCAGGCAGACCACCAGGTCAGGTCTGATCCCAGGCTGCTCACCGCAGCCTAAACAAACTCCTCTCCAATTAGCCCAAAACTGCTCCTTGCACTTCGGAGCAGGACAGATAGTGTCCATGTCACCACATCCATAATTCATCCACGAGCTTTTCAGCTCAAGAGTCTTTTCTTCAGCTTTCTTTAATCCTGCTTAGTGTCTTCCACTGATTTTAACGGCGGCTGGCTGGCACACTGCTGCTCTTCAGGTTTAACTTTGCAGAACACATTACTGTCCAAAGATGAATGGATACAGGCTCTTAGTCTGTCCTTTCAACTTATCATTGACAACCCAAGAAACCGAAGTACATGGTTTCAATTGACCGTTAGTTACTGTAAAAAGTGTTCTAGTCTATGCTATTATGCCTAATTTACCTTTTAATTATATTGTCCATGCTAATGCTAATTGGAATTTGATACACCCAGGTTTAACGACCCATTTTCACTGCCTTTCTGAAACAAGTTACAGATTAGTTCCTTCTGAACTTCAAAGAATTTCCACTTAAGTGTAAAATCAAACTGCTTCAGCGTCTTGCTGGCAATATATGGTTCCGAGCAAGAATTTTTGCTACAGTGACTGAGCAGGAACTTGGTCTCTTGATTTGGCCTTATGCAGTGCTGCTGTTGTTTCCCATTACTTCAGTCTGATGTCCTAGCAGGGCTGAACTGTGAAAGCCTATGAATAGCAATGAGGAGGAATTAAGAACAAAGAAAGGATCCTAATCTGAAGCACTAAATTAGAGAAGATCCATAGCTGTGTTTTGATATTACTGTGATATTTTTCAGCATGAAAGCAGCTAGTTCATCCAACCCTAAAATCACTTTTGATCTATTATTTTAATCCCAAATTAAAGCATTCCGTGGTAGTGCTCTTGCTGCTTGTTTTTTCACAGCAAACGTGAAGACAGCATACAGCAGTGACAGCACATAGTATTTGAAGATATCCCACAGGAATAGTGTAGATATTTTGCGATAATTTAGCATTAGTATAAACTCTCTGAGGGCATTCAAGAGAGGTGAGGTGGGGACAGCCTAGAAAAAAGAGGAAAATCAACCAACCAAAAGGACTCATTACAGGAATAACAGTGGAGGAACCATGAATAGACCATGAAAACATCATGGAAATGAACGACAGGACAGGGGAGGACCGTTTGCTTGTGAGACCCTGCCCTTCACTGGGCAGGGAGGTATCGGAGTCTGACCGAACCCTTGCATTGCCCGTGCGGGGCTGTGGCTCCTCTGAGCCGGGCTGCCAGGCAGAAAAGTTGGGTATGGCTGTGGTACTGCGGTCAAGAACAGGAAGCTCAGATATCTGAAAGTCTTTTATTGCTTCTCTTCAACTTTATCCCTTAATTCACAGAGCCAGTCTCTCAGGGTAGGTCAAGCGGTGCGGTAAGAATCGAGCACTCCAGGAAGACCCTTTTCTGCAGCAATCCTTCCTCCTCCAGCTTCACAACGCTGCTCCCCTTTGGTTTCGGTGCAGCAAGGCACAGGCTGAGAATACCTCTAATTATGGCAATTTGGGGCCAGGGTTATAAAGCATTTCCCAGCGCAGTAATGTCTGCTAGCAGAATGCTTTTGAAATGGCAGCTTTCTATTGCCAAATTCCTCGGTGTAGATGCAGTTATAAGCACGTGTCTGGTCTGACTGTGTCTAATCTGTAAGGGATGACAGTATAACTACACAGTGCTTTCAGTGTCTCAAGAAATGTGCAAAGTGCAGCGTTATCTGTCTTCAATGTAGCCCTTCACTAGAGAATAACATTCTGAGGTCACCGGTTAAAAACCGCTTCTGACCCCTGCCCTGAGCAGCAGCAGCCATGAGAATAACGTTAGCAAATCCCTGCCACATAGCCGAAGATATAGATTTATGTTATTTTCTTACATTTCGGGACATTTAGAAGAAGGTGCCACTGGAGTATAAAGATATTTTCAATTTATGTGATGAGGGAGCTAGACAGCCTGCCTCCAAGTTCAGCGAGCCTGTTCAGACTCCAAATTGGCGATGAATCATTACACTCACACGGCCACAGGCAGGAGAGGTCTGCAGAGATTGCATTCACCCACTCTAATCGCTCCCGCAGCAGCACTGACCTGCTCACTCCAGAATTAGGGAGGAGGGAAATAAAACCGTCTAGTCTCAGAAACCCAAAGACTGAATTGTACTACAGGAATTCAGAGTTAGCTTTGGGGATGGAGGATGCTTCCTTGCCTTAGTGTTCCTTTCTTAGAGCAAAATAACATGACTACTGAAAAACCTTATGGTGTTATTCCAGTAGCCGGCCAGGGGGAGGGAGTGAAAAGCTTTACTGTGGGAGGTGGCACTTCACACTCGT